GGACCCGAAACGTTAACACTGTTTTTTCCTTCACAGATGCTGCCAGACCTGCTGAGCTTTTCCAGCAACTTTGTTTTTGTTCCTAAATATTTTCTGAGTTGTCTGGGGGGAGTTATTTTTCTTCTGAGTAGTGAAGGCAGGGCTACTCAACAGGTAAAATTAAATCCCTGAATAACAAGGAGTTAAAGTTATTGGGAATAGGCAGGATAAAAGAGTTGACAGTACAATTTGATCAGTCATGATCTTAGCAAATGGCAGAGCAAGCTTGATGGCCCAAAGACGACTCCTGTTCCTGATTGATATGCTCATATATAACATTAAATGGTGAATGTACATGCTGTGTTGTGTAGAAACTCTGACATACTTTTCCCTCCCTTCCAAGCTGTAACCAGTTACACCACTTGTTCAAGAAATATCTGCAAATTGTGTCGACAAGGGACTAAACTTTTCTTTGACTAAATGGCTCAGAGGTGTACTGTTTTGTTCATGGAGGGCTCACTTGTATTTCTTTACCAAATCTAATCAAAAAGGCTTGTACTAATAGGTCCTTTCACGAGCTTGGTTCACAACCAATGGAACATGTTTTAACCTAGAGTCACTTGTAGGAAATCTGACAAAGTTTTAATTGTACATTTTACTTTAATGATCATGCAGAGTAATGGGGATCTGAAAAGGAAATGGACCTGGGCAGTTGAGTGGCTTGGAGAAGAGCTAGAACGTAGGCCATATCCTGGAAATCCACAGTATACCTATAACAACTGGTCACCCCCTGTACAGAGCAATGAAACATCAAATGGTTACTTCTTGGAGAGGTCACACAGTGCCAGGATGACACTTGCAAAAGCATGTGAGCTATGTCCAGAAGAGGTAAGGAATTGAGAAATTTCTGCTTTGAACATTTAAACTTGTCCATAGCAGTGTTCAGTTCTGCATGTTAAAATTAGTTAGTACAGCTTCACCTTGCCTATTCTGACTTCCACCCCACAGCTCTGCTTTACCCCACTTCTCTTCTCTCAAAATACATGCCCTCTTGTTTATCATCGAACCTGTTGTGTAAAATATGACATTTCCCTGTGCACATTCTTCCTTGCTTAGTCAATATGTTAACATTTTAGGAGCCGGATGATCAAGATGCACCAGATGATCATGATTCTTCCCCACCAGAGGATGCTCCTTTGTATCCCCATTCACCAAGCTCTCAATATCAACAGGTGAGTTTTTCTGTCTTTCACTGCCCTAATTTCTTTGTGCTTACTTGTATAAAAAAAAGTCATTTAATTTTACATTGTATCTGTGAGAAAACTCTTCTATTATAAATCATAAATAGGCACAGTCCAGTTTTTGAAATTCCATGTAGAACAATGTTTAGCTATGGATCACTTTCTTATCCTCAGCATGTACCTATATCAGATTTTTGGAGTTTTGAACTTCTGGAAATACTGTTTTGTAAACCCATTTAAGGAGCATGGCAAGTTTTAATTCAGGGCATTAAGATTAGGGCATATAGTTGCTAATAATATTCAAATACCAAATTGTATTTCTCTGTGACTTTCTAAACAAACTTCCTCACCCTATCTGATGCATATTAAAATCATCTATTCACCATGTTTCATTAATCTGAGAGTATAGATATTCATTGAAACATGAATTCATTGCCTCCTGAAGTTATTACTTTTCTGGTGGTGCAACTTAAGTTAAAGTTACTCTGAGTCTGAGACTCCAATCTTTATAACTAACTCAGCTTTCGGAACAGTTTGTGATGCTTTCTTACAACTATACCCCTTTGTTTTCACTTGGCAGAATTCTGCCAATGAAGAACAGAGCAAAGTGGTTGTGTACGCAAATTGTATTCATCAGCTTATTTTCAATTTATTCCCATTTCTTCTTCACTCTTGCTTGAGCATTCTTGATGCGAGCACCAACCTGTTTAAAGAGTAGTCCCACGATCTCCCCTGTCACTATTTAGTATTAGGAATTCAGTAGTCGTGACAATGTGATTTTATCCCATTTTGAAGAGAGCACTTGACTTACATTTGCCGCTTCATTGCAGGGTACATTTGGATTGGGAATTGAACATTCCCCTCTGACAGTCAGTTGATACTTAAACTTTTTGTTCAGCTTTGCGTACTTGATGACGCAAGTGTCATGACTCTGTTGGAAATAATGCACTTGGCTCGAAGCCTCCTGTTCCACAAGTCATCACGAGTATGAATTATGATCTATTTAACCTTAAAATCTAAATACAAACATTCGTTCACATTTGGAACAGATAAGCAGGTTTTCTTTAGAAATATCATGGGTATAAAATATCGACTAAAAAGGCAGAAACTCTGTGAATCAAAGTTCAACCCTACAGAGGTGTTGTGAGTTGACTTTTTCCAGTTCTTTCTTGGTTTTTAATGATGGTGTTTTGTTGCTGTGCACCATGGTGATCCTCAATTAAGTAGATGGCTTTGGATTTGTGTCTTGCCTTGAATTAAAAGTCTTTTTCTTTTTCTTTCTTTCTACAATGTCTTTGAGTGGTATTTCTTTTCCAATTAAGAAAAGAGAGAAATGAGGATCTAGCTTGTTTATGGCTTTTTTGATGGCCTGTTTCATTAGTTCCTCAAATCTGTGATAAACTTGAACCAATCCAAATCCTGTTGCTGGGCAATTAATTATTTTTCTCAAGATTCCTGATGTTGGCATGTCTCAAGTATCAAATCCAGTTCCAGCAAAAGGACAACAGACAATTCTACTCTCCAAGTTATTAAAAACAAAAATAATCCAGACTTCTGTTTTCCAACTTATATTTCCAAAGAAAATATCTGTAACGCTTACATGTGGAGAAAAATTGGAGAGCTTTGTTTGAATCATGCTTTTCGTGTTAAAAGAGAAAAGTGACTGCGGAACTAGAACTTAAAATGGTATTTTCTTTTGACAGAGTTTTGGTAAATACAATAGGAAAAGCAAAGGAAGTACTTATTCCAAGTGACACGTTAATGCACTGCTGTTAACAATATAACAGTGAGCTTTTAGAGAAATTTCTCTGTCTAAAATTAATATGAAATATAAAATCCAATTTTAATAAGTTGATATGTATCTTCTAGATACAATACTTTACTATAAACTGTTGCTTGGCTGACAGGGATGTCAAGGCATTTTTGACTTCAAGACATGCACTTTCCGTTTTCCAGGGAGTACTGCAGGTGTCGTCTGATTATTTAATCATCATTAAGCATCACAAGTGGGGTTGTTCACTGATAACTGCACAACTTTCGTTATCATTGAGACACCTCAGATACTGGTGCAGTCCATGTCCAAATGTAGTAGGACGTAGACAACATCTAGCATTGGGCTGACAAGTAATATCGATGCTTAGCACTTGTGTGGCAATAACCATTTCTGACCAGAGAAAATCTAGCAATTCTCCCTTGACAATCAATGGTATTACAAGTCTGGAATGTGATGGAGTACTCCCCACTTGCCTGGATGCTTGAAACTTGACACACTCCAGGACAAAGCAGCCTGTTTGATAGGCATCGCATGTGCAAACATCCACTGTCTCCACTACCAATGCTCAGTTGCAGCAGTGTATATTATCTACAAGATGCACTGCAGAAATTAATCAAGGCTCCTCCACACCTTCCATATATAAAACCACTAATAGCTAGAAGGGCAAGTGCAGTAGATACATGGGAACACCACCACCTACAAGTTCCCTTCCATGCCTGACTTGGGAATACATTGCTATTCCTTCAGTGTCACTGGGTCATAATTCTGGAATTCTCTTTCTAATCGAATTGTGGTCCACCTACATCAAATAGCCTGCCAAAGATTCAAGAAGGCAGTTCACCACCACCTCAAAGACATAGGAATAGGCAATAAATACTGACCCAGTTAGCAACGTCCACAACCCATGAATAAAAATCAAGTCATAAAAGCTATTTCTTTGCCATCATTACTCCTGTAAAGCTCATCTGCCTCCTGGGGTCCCACATGCACAGTTGAATACAGGAATCCCCAAATTGCTGTCAGTGATTCTGTGTTGAGCCTCTAAGTGGCAGTGATTACTGAATTGAACAGAACTTCAACTTCAATCTTACTCCCACTGTTAAACCCCATCCCTCAACCACCACCACCACGAAAAGAAATTCTACTTTGTTAATAGACAAGAAATCCTCCAGCCCTGGAAAAGTTCATTTACACTTCTGTAAAATCAAAAATTTCCATTAAAATTCATAGATTTTTAGTATCATTTTCTTTAGTCTGCTTGACATTTTGGTGTCCAACAGATAAGTCAACAATCTTTGTTGCACTGTATCTTTTTTAAAAAAACTAATCAGTGGATTTTACTAAAATAAAAACCAAAATGCAGCAAAATACTCTTGGTCTAGCAGCATTCATCAGGAGAGAAAAGTAGTTATCATTTTGAGTCGATGATGTCATCAAAACTGCATTTTTCTTCTTGGTTTGCCATCACATTTTTTAATGTGTGTAGGTTTCCACAGTAGATAATTATATCACTGCTGATGAATGCCTGAAGATCCCCTCGACTTTGTGCTAGTTGGAACTTAATATTGGAAAATCCACACAACTGAAGCTGCCAGACATGTCTGAGCTGCTTTCTTCAAGGTCCATGACATATGCCATCACTACACAATCTATTATTTGATATTATTTATTCTTTTGGTATTTCCATTGGAGGTTTTGCAGTCCATAATTTTCATACAGCTTGCTTCTGAAACTTCACACTGATTATGCACTCTGCCAATTATGCTAATGTAGCACTTCCTTTTGAAAGAGGGTGCAATTACCTACATGAAACGTGTGTGTCTGTCATTTCTGACCTAAACGTGGGCATTGGGATTTATAACAGAAAAGGCTGATTGGAAATGGACATGAAATATATTTTAAAACTTATCTCTAACAGTGTCTACTCGCATTTGCGTAATACCATTAACATAGGAAAAGGTTAATATGGGAACATAGACAAAAATTGACACTAAACCAAAGAAGGGGGTATTGTATTGGGGTGAGTGACTATTAGGTTGTTTTAAGAGAGGTAGCATTTTTAAAGGAGTCATCAAATAAGTTTCACCAGGAAATTACTAGCTTTGGTTGAAGTAAGTGTGGGTACAATATGCCAGAATTAGAGAAGGTTTGCAGAAGGGTGACAATCAGAGATGTGATGGGATGGTTCAATTTGAGAAATTTGAATTTGGAAGGTTTAAACATGTGTTTGTGCATCAGAAACCAATGCTGGTTATTAAATATTGCGGTTATTGAAACATGTTTATAGGTTAGGAAATGGGCAGATGCAATTAAAATCGATTTCCTGTTGTAACAATTGTTCTGGGGAAGCCAGCAATCTGATTTGTAACATTTCAGAGCAGATGTTCTAAGAGCTAAACTCTGTTCTCCCTAATAAGAGGGACTGGACTGAATTCAACAGTTTCAGTAGGTCGTACAGAACAGTTTCTGGGTCACTGAAGAGTTCCATGTTTTATAGTCAATGGGGAAAATCAGTAAGTATGTATGAGGATAAGACAGTGAGATGCCATGTTATGCAGTGCTGTTTTTAGCTGTATTGTTGGGAAGGCAACTGAACTATATCAGTTCTATATTATGAATTTAATGCAAAGTCCAAAGCAGTTGGGTATCTCTCTGCTATGGGAACTTGGGCAGAAGTTTTGAAGTTAGCAAGCAGTTAAGTCAGGAGTCAGTCAGTGCAGCTGAGAGCAGGGCTTGAAAAACACAAGCAGCATTTGCTTATTGCGACTGATCAAGATTAGAGCTCGGGGGAAAACTATGGGGTGATTCTAGCTTAAAGCTAGTTGATGCTGAAAAACTGGAGTGGTGCATGTGAGGAACTACCAAAGGTCTGTATGCAGAGTCCAGAGAAGTGTTCTTTTCCTGGGTCTACGTGAATGGCCAGAACAGGAACCATTGTTGAAGCACTCATTAATGACGTGACTCTTGAGAGGTCAGCAAAACTAAACAATTGAAAAGGTACAAAGTTTTATGAGATTTGTTGACCCATAATGTCATCTACATCTTGGGCAGTTGTTGAAATATGAGAGATCTTTCTTAATTGTACTTGCACCTTGATGTATGCTGTGAGGTATATGATTACAGCCTATGTGTAAACCGTGTGTTAATTTTGGACATTAAATTACAATTTGTATGTGTTGTCAATTATGTTATTATTTTAATGTTGTAAAGTTTTTAT